GCATACATTGGCAGCCTTTAAATACTCTTTGAACACCTACAAATACAGCGGCGAAAGACTCTTTGAACAGAGCAGTGGAGGCGGTGGGGGCAGTCTGGTACATAGGCAGGTGAGGGCGGTGGGGGCGGTGTGGGCGGTGTGGGCGGTGGGGGGCAGGTGAGGGCAGTGAGGGCGGTGTGGGCGGTGGGGGCGGTGGGGGCGGTGTGGGCGGTGTGGGCGGGGCAGTGATGGCGGTGAGGGCGGTGTGGGAGGTGGGGGCGGTGTGTGCGGTGGGGCGCGGGGGGGTCCGGGCATACATTGGCAGCCTCTAATACTCTTGAAACACCTACAAATACAGCGGCGAAAGACTTTTTGAACAGAGCAGTGGAGGCGGTGGGGGCAGTCTGTTACATAGGCAGGTGAGGGCAGTGAGGGCGCTGAGGCCGGTGTGGGCGGTGCAGTCTGGTACATAGGCAGGTGAGGGCAGTGAGGGCGGTGTGGGCGGTGGGGGCGGTGTGGGCAGTGGGGGCGCTGGGGGGTCCGGGCATACATTGGCAGCCTTTAAATACTCTTTGAACACCTACAAATACAGCGGCGAAAGACTCTTTGAACAGAGCAGTGGAGGCGGTGGGGGCAGTCTGGTACATAGGCAGGTGAGGGCAGTGAGGGCGGTGTGGGCGGTGGGGGCGGTGTGGGCAGTGGGGGCGCTGGGGGGTCCGGGCATACATTGGCAGCCTTTAAATACTCTTTAAACACCCACAAACACAGCGGCGAAAACTCTTTGAACAGAGCAGTGGAGGCGGTGCGGGCAGTCTGGTACATAGGCAGGTGAGGGCGGTGGGGGCTTTGAAATACTCTTTAAACACCTACAAATACAGCGGCGAAAGACTCTTTGAACAAAGCGGTGGAGGCGGAGGAAGCGGTGTGGGTGCGGACACCTCTCGGGATATCACAGGCGCCGCCCGCAGGGGTCGGCGGATATTAGGGGGGGTTTCGGGTCCTGCGGGTATGAGTCGGAGTGACAGCAATTAATTATTAATTAGTAATGAGGCAGCCAGACAGTCAGACAGCTAGAGCCCGAAAGCTCTAAGCCATAAACCTGGAGCCCTAAAGCCCGAAGCCCTAAACCTTGAGCCCTAATTAATTGAGTCCCTGAAGCCCTAAACCCTAAAGCTTAAGCCCTCGGCATCCACGTAGTTATATGAGTTCGTGAGTAATTAAATAATTACTTATTCAATTACAGTCAGACAGTCAGACAAGTCAACAGCAAAGACAGGGGAGGGAGGGAGGGAGGGAGGGAGGGACATAACACCCAACAACCCCCCCTTATATTAAAACTAATTGAATAGCTAATAACTGGCTCCAGCCTAAAACTTAAAACCCTAAGCCTTAAACCTCGAGCCCCAAACCCTAAAGGCCTGAGCCCTAAAGCTTTAGCGCTAAAGCCCTGAGCCCTAAAGCTTTAGCCCTGAGCCCTAAACCCTTAAACCCTAAAGCTCTCGTGTCTCTTTAGTACTGCTGTAATTAATCTTTGCCTCTATAATTAAAGCCCTGAGCTCTAAACCCTTAAACCCTAAAGCTCTGGTGTCTTTAGTATTACTGTAGTCTTCCTTCAATTAAAACACATACAGATCTGCCACCCCCCCTAATGTTGCCCCCTTTAAATTGAATGCGGGGCCCGAACCCGCGAAATTCCGGGGGCCGGCAGTTTTTATATTAGGGGGAGATTGATTGTTAGGGGGAAGCGATTAAGAAGTTACATACAGTTCTAAGGGTCACTTTGCAAGTTTGCTTCGGGTGTTGGCAGCTCTGAGGGTCCAGAAGGTGGATACTTCTGTTGATGATATAAATCCTGCATTACCTTAAGGACCCTAAACTATGGGAATTATGGTATATTCCTTATTATGGGTAATGCAGGATTTAGATCATCAACCGTTGGACTGCCAGGGCAGCAGCCGTTCTGCAAGAAGTGGGGTGTGAACTCCATGGTAATGGGATGCATGTGAGTTCCTATTTCTATTTCCAAAGGGTCCCAGGTACTGCTATGGCGTATACTTCCCCAAATCATAAAAGCAATTCCGAATGTAGAAACCTTACATTCTGCTATATAGCTACTTTGAACCCTTTAGGATTGTATTCACAGCAGGGTTTTGTGCTTAGCTGCTCTTGATCCAACTCGGTGAGCTTCCTGCGCTCAAGCTGGGAAGTCTGAGGGTCGCTGGCCAGCTCAGAAAGCTAAGACCTTCACACCCAACCCTAAACTTACAGTTAAACCCAGAACCTAGCCTTAAACCCTAATCCCTTAACCCTGAACCCAAAAATTAACCCCTAAGCCCTACACACTCCAATTTCGAACCCCTACTAGTAAGGCCCAAAACCTAAACTGCAGGCACTGGCTGCGCAGCCGACGCTTCGTCACAGTTGGGTAACATTTTATATTCTTATGGGTACTTAAACCCAAGAAGGAATACGAATTGAAACCCTAAACACTAAACCCATGAACTAGGAATGAACTAGGATGCTTCTGGGATTCCTCCTCCACCTCCTCGCAGTGATCCGACCGCTGAGCAGCAACGAAACTCCAAGCAGAGGATGCCTCGATTCAGGGATGGAAGGATAGGTTCAATGTATTCCAATATATGTTCCAATATATATATATATATATATATATATGTATATATACATATATATATATATATATATATATAAATTTATATATATATATATATATATATATATATATATTTGTATACGCACACCTGTTTATACATATATATATATATACACTATAAATACGTGTATATATACATGTGTATACATATATATATATATATATATATATATATATATTTGTTACTTCTGATTTGGCATTAGGGTTGAGGGTGCGCGCGTGAAGTATTTGTTGTTCTATGTTTGCTTTTGTGCTTGTTTTTCTCTTTGCTCCTGTTTCGTTCTTGCCCTGGTTAGTACTTGTACTGGTATTGAGTACTGGTACCGAGTGCGAGTAGAAGGGCTAGGACTAGAAGTAGGCGTGGGAGTAGAAGTAGCAGGAGTTCAGTAGTAGCAGTAGTGGCAGTGTGTTGGAGTAATCCAGTATATCGCATAACATGTAGTGCTATGGCCATGTAGTCGAGCGCAGCAGTAGTGTAGAAGGTTGAAGCGGTACCAATCAGAAGGAGACTACAACAAACCGTGGATCATTTTAATGTCACGACAACAGCAGCACAAGCAGCCGCTCCGGGAGTAGTAGCATAGTAAAGGTGGTATAGTCGCAGGTGTGTGCTGGACGTGTAACAGCAGTCGTACATAGTAACATATGCACTAAACATATTGGGCAACAAATTTAACATGTGGGGGACAAAATATTAGGGAACAAGTATTGGTGTAAAGTACATCGCTTGTAGCTTTGTGCATCATTTTGAACACCTTCCCTCAGCCTGATCTCATGGAGCGAACACTGCAGATTGAGCGCTTCTCAACCCTAAACCCTAAACCCTAAACTCTAAACTCTAAACCCTAAACCCTAAACCCTAAACCCCTAAAACAAGCGTCGACCCTAAAGCCCCTGGACTCTAGGCCCGACGCCCTAAAAGCAGAAGAAATGGCGAGAGTAGCCGGTGCTTCGGTTGATGCTATAAATCCTGCATTACCCATAATAGGGAAGATACCATAATTTTCACAGTTTAGGGTCCTTAAGGTAATGCAAGATTTCTATCATCAACAGTTGCTCCAGGATGTACGAGCAGAAGGCGTCTGAGGCTTTTGATGCCCTGCTGATGCAGCCGCTGGGACGGTCGTAGCATCCTGACCATTGCAACCCTGACCCTAGAAATCCACAGTTTGTGCTTGTCTTACGATGATTTCCTTAAAGGTGCAGGTTTGCGTAATTCTGTAGATTCAGAGCCCGGAAGATGAAGTACATGGACAAGACAAGCCTGAGCACTGCGGACTTCATCATCTAATCATCTATTGACATGCGTTTCGCCGCGGTATCCTACACCCCAGAGCATGACTTCCTGCAAGCCCTTATCGATCTAAACCCATAGAGAGTAAAAGCTCGTCGGCTCTTTTGCGGCCAGTTTCACTACGAGTTTGAAGTTCTAGCGTATAGCATCGATTTCCAGATGACCTCGCCCCTGAATGTCGCTAATGATAGCCCATTCGGCTCGCAAAAATCTGCACGGACCGCAGGTTGCAAGTTGACTGTAGGTTCCCCAAAGGCTCCATGTACCCATATAGTAGATACTTAGGCCTTAAAGTACCTATACAGGGACCCCTTTAAAGCTTAAGTATCTACTATACAGGTACATGGAGCGTTTGGGTTCGTAGATGTTCGTAGCAAAGCGAGCCTGGCATAGAGGCGCGGGCAACAGGGTTGCTGGGCTTCAAGGCACGCCTGCCAAGCTTAGTAATGCAAGACATGGCCTAAATCACTACTATTACTGCAACAGTATTCCTTATGGGGTTCCTCACTATGTTAGACTTTATTTATACTACTATAACAGGACTCCCCAGGGGTCCTTACTATAATAGACTATAAGCTACTATCACAGTATTCCGTAGGAATACTTATTTTAATAGACTATATGCATTGCTCAGTGGCCGGTGGCCTATTGTGATGTCCTTTGCCCAGGCTTCCGCAGGAGGTGCCCAGAAAGGTCAAGGATTTCAACAAATTCGCTTGCTACGCCTAAAGGGTTCAGGGTTTAGGGTCTGTTTTTCACACTTGGTGCGTGGGCTACGGGTACATGTGATTAGGGGCATCTGTTTGACATCAGCTGTGCGGAGTCTTGATGATCCTCAGCTGCCTCGTTGTCAACAGTTGATCATGCTCTGTACTGCTGGATTCGTTGGCTCTGCAAGGCAGCCGCCAACAGACTAAACCTCACATTGGACCCTGAAACACTGTAATTACTGGGCATTCACATACACGAGCATGCAGCATGGACCTGCATCATAACCTAGTGAAAAGTGGCCGTCTTTGTGAACCCGTGCCCCGGCTGCGCTGAGCGTGCAAAGCCATGCTGTCAAACCTCGTCCGCAGCACCACGCGCCAGCGCGCCCGGGCGCTCCTACAGGATGCCGGTCTGGCATCGAAGCTTTCCCGGGCCCGTCCGGGTCCACAGCTGCTACTAGCTGAGTAGGCAACCTTTAACCTTTTTGGGGTTTATATATTCCTACCATAATGATGCTGCTCTTTCCTACCATAATTGAAAAGGTTAACCGTTTTTGGGCTAGGGTACTCAGCCCCTTGTAAGGATGCAGCTTGCAACCCGAAGCTGCCAGAGCTTCCCTGGCCCTGTGCGGTCGCGGCCGGTGCTTTGCTGGAGACGTGCTTTGGGCGCTTCCCTGCTACTTGCCTCTTGCGGCCAGGTTCAAAACTTTGCTTGTAGATGATGCACTATGATTATGCTAAGCAAGTGTCGTCAGTACCTACGGTTGATGATATAAATCCTGCATTACCCATAATAAGGAATAGACCATGATTCCCATTGCGTAGTGTCTTTGAGGTAATGCAGGATTTATATCATCAACCGTAGGTGTCTTCATTCATGGTTGGATCTTGGTCTTTGCTGATAAGCGGTAGCAGTCGCGACTGCAAAGCCTCGAGCTGTTCTGCTGAGTCCGACTCGGAACCCCAAAGGCCCTAAACCCTCAAAGCCCTGAGCCCTAAACCCTAAAAAGTCCTACGTTGAGGGCAAAATGCCAGCGCCGCTTTGAAGCAAGAGGGCACATCAAATTTAAATAAAAAGAAACCTAAAGTCCACAACCCAGGTGGCATGCTTGCAGCACCCACGGCCTTTTCGCTCCGGAGCTCCCCCGAGGGCCCTGCGAAGTGCGAGGAAACTCCTTTGCAGAGCGACAAGGGCCAGGACTTAGGGTTTAGGGTTTAGGGATTAGGGTTTAGGGATTAGGGTTTAGGGTTTAGGGATTAGGGATTAGGGTTTAGGGATTAGGGTTTAGGGATTAGGGTTTAGGGTTAGGGATTAGGGATTAGGGTTTAGGGCCAGGACACGCAGAACCGTGTAGGGCTTTGGGTTTAGGGGTTCAGGGTTTATGGGTTTAGGGTTAGAGGTTTAGGCGTTTAGCCAACACACCCAGAGACTCCAATATCCTTTAATTAAGGAATATTCCTTAAATTATAGTAGGATCCCTAACATGATTTAAGGTATATTCCCTAACTAAGGGATATTGGAGTCTCTGGGCACAGAACCGCAAAACCCTACTGTACATAGATAGAAGGTGGTTCGGAGCCTTCTTTATACAACGGTCATTTTAGGGTATTTATGATACCCCCGAAACCCTGCAAAATGGTGGGCTCTGGCCCATAGCGCAGGGCATGACCCTGGAACAGAGTAGGCTTTTGGAACCCCCAAACCATACTGTACATGGCTAGAAGGAGGTTTTGACCCTTCTTTATACAGGGGTCACCTAGGGTATGATCCCCTTTTCATAGGGTCTGACTTAGAATCCACCCAGTAATAGTGACTATATATGGATTATATTAGGGCCCCATTATATTCCTATTACACCGCGATTACAGGGTGGGGGCAGCTTCTAAAGTATGATCCCCTTTTCATAGTGTATGACCCTGAAACAGAGTAAGCTCTTGGATCCACAGGATGCAAAGGCCAAGAGCAGCCCCGTTGCAACGGTCCTCAAGGCCGGACGAGGGTTTAGGGGTTTAGGGGTTTAGGGTGTAGGGTTTAGGGGTTTAGGGTTTGGGGTTTAGGGTTTTAGAGGTTTAGGGTTTAGGGGTTGAGGGTTTAGAGTTTAGGGGTTTAGGGGTTTAGGGGTTTAGGGTTCAGGCTTCTGAAAGGGCTTTTTTTCATGGGATTTATAGGGTTTTGTTGTAGAGCAGAAGGATGAGAGGGAAACAAATATGCATAATGTTTTCATATATATATATATATAATATAATTATGTATATATATATATACATATATAGTATGTGTGTGTATGTATATATATATATATATATATATATATTTGTGGGACCTTCTAGCGTAAGCACATACAAACTCTAGAGATACTTGGGCCCAACGCTTGAATCCTCAAACGCCAAAATCTTACAGCCATTGCAGCCGTCCAGAATTCCTGGTAGTGACCCCCGGCGCCCTAAATCCCAGACCGCATACCCCCAATCTAACCTCTCTATGCCCCGCTCAAGACAAAATGGACACATCCTGATACTCCTGGTCTTCAAAGATCTTAAACTCTGTGGGAACCCTTTTCGAAACCTTCATAATCTCTGTAGTAACCCTCTTCAGAACCTTTGGAGAGCGTACATACATACAACGTATACCTTCAAAACATGTCAAAACCACAAGCCCCAACCCTAAACCCTAAACGCCCAAAACCTCAACCCCTACCAACCCCTACACCTAATCTCACGGTGGGAGTCGGTTCTCAAAAGGTCTCTGCGGCACTCTTCTGCTGGGGACTCTTTGCCGGCCTATGGCAAACCGGCCCGGACTTCGAACTACGGTTGATGACATAAATCCTGCCTTACCTTCAGGACCCTAGACTATGGGAATTATGGTATATTCCTTATTATGGGTAATACAAGATTTAAATCAAGAACCGTATGTGTGTGGTTATGTCGAAAGGCTTGTGTTTTTTATAATAATGTATTCTTACGGTTATAACAACTTACAACACATACATACCTCTCTCTATATATATATATATATATACGAGATTACAACGAACATAAAAGTGGATCTACGCAGTGGCGATCGATGTTCACCATGGTGTGTCAATGAGTTGGTTATTTTTTGTTTTGTTTATGGCACCGGTGGAGGGTTTTAGTGAGTTTGGGCTTTGTGGGCAAGTTTCCCGGTCATTAGGGTATAGGGCTTAGGGCTTCTTATTATGGCTTCTATATGTCGTTCCTGAAAAAGGTATCTTCCTAGTAACCTACCCCCCTCTCTTTCAGGAGACCTCGTCTTATGGCTAGGATTGTAGTATCCTTAAGGGAGGGGGGTCCAAGGGGGGTATATAGCCTAGTGAACCCTAATTCTCCCTAGTACTCCCTAAGGTTCCCTTACAGTCCCCTAAGGATTACTTATACCTTCCCCCGTTGAACCACCCTCCCTTAAGGATCCTATAATAGGATGTGCTACATAGAAAAGTAGGTACCCTCAAAAGGGGCAGGGTATGAGCCTATGCAGGTGGCTCAAAGTTTAGGGATCTTGGGCTCAGGCTTCGAGATTCAGGGGTAAGGGGTTTAGGGGTAAGGGGTTTGGGGGTTTGGGATGTAGGGTTTAGGGGTAAGGGGTTTTGGGGTTTAGGGTTTATTAGGTTTAGGGTATAGATGGGTTTGGGTGTGAAGCTGAGCCAGTCCCCAATTACAGCAACAGTCGCAATCCCTCGCTGAGCAAGGAAATACTAGGCCTGGAATATGTCCATACTCGCCCTGGGAATATAGAGCAAAGGTCTTGAACTCCAGAGAAAAATAGCAATGACGTAGGCCCAAACCCTTCTCATGCCCTTACCCAGAACCTCTCCACCCTTAACCACAGGCTCGCGAGCCTACACACCAAGACCGCTAAGCCCAGGTTTGCCTCCATAACGCTGCCCGCCGCCCTCGTCTGGGCAGCATCCACAGGCCGCTGGAAGGCCGGTCATGACGGGTGTAAAGGGAACTCCAGAAAGTTGGAATATGGTTTCAGGGTAGGATACCCTATAATTTACCATAAAAGGTTTAGGATAATCTTATTCCAACTTTCTGGCTTTTACTATAGAGTTTTGGAGGCTACAGAACTTTATGACTTTGGGGGCCACATCCCTACCCGGTCAGTGTACTTGAGATGACAGCAACACAGACACATGCTTCAACTGCCATTTTGTGCTCGAGGCAAAGCATGGTGTCTTTGCCGTAGAGCAGCCGCGGTTTAGGGTTTAGCGTTGTTCCATTACCAGGTTGGACCCCAGGGATGTTGCAGATTTGGATGCTTTCGGGAGAAGCGGTGGCAAGCATATGTGCAGAAGAGTTGGAGGAGCTCAGCGACATCAGGGCCTTGAAGCAGCGCTTGAGTCAGTTGTACGGCCTAGTGCCACGATTCAGGCAGAGGCTCCTCCTCCACGGCCAGACTTTGGAAGAGACGGCCATACTGGAGGTTTCGCCAATGGACCTTCATGTCGTGCTCTTGCCTTTCGCTGACGTTTCCCGGTCGCAGGTAGAAGCCCTAGCAGCTGCTGCTAGGCTTGGCTCCGTGGTCGAGGTCGAGGCCATGCTGCAGATGCCTCAAGATCCAGACTTGCTTGACTCACGTGGCTGCGCGGCTTTGATCACGGCATGCCGCGCTGGTCATGTCGAGATCGTTCGGTTGCTGCTGGAAGCACGTGCCAACCAGGATGTGGCAGACAACAGCGGTCGAACAGCCTTGCACAGGGCATTGATTGATGGTGATGTCGAGATCGGTCGCTTGCTGCTGGGAGCCGGTGCCTGCAAGAATCTTGCAGGCTGCGACCTTGGCTGTACCTGGATGAGAGCATGCAGCATGGGTAAGGTCGAGCTCGTCCACTTGCTGCTGGAAGCAGGTGCCAACAAAGATGAGGTGGATGAATTTCGCCGCACAGGTTTGATGAAGGCATCCAGGGATGGACATACTGAAATTGTCCGCGTGCTGCTGGCGGCAGGCGCTAACCAGAATCTGGCATGCGACGTGGGTCTCACAGCTTTGATGAGAGCATGCCGCGCAGGTCATGTCGAGACTGTTCGTTTGCTGCTAGAGGCAGGCTCGGACCAGGATCTGTCAGATCGCGCCGGTTGCACATCTTTGATGTTTGCATCCGACGAAGGGTATGTGGAAATCGCTAGCTTGCTCCTGGAGGCCAGTGCCAACAAAGATCTGGCAGACGACGATGGCCGCACCGCTTTGATGACGGCATGTGGCGCAGGTCATGTCGAAATGGTCGGCTTGCTGCTGGAGGCCGGTGCTGAGCAGAGTCCCGTAGACATCTTCGGGCACTCGGCTTTGATGAACGCATCCAATGCAGGTCATCTCGAAGTCGTTCGCTTGTTGCTAGCCGCAGGCGCAAACAAGCATGTTGTAGCCAAGGACGGGTCAACAGCTCTGATGATTGCGAGTGACGCAGGCCATATCGCAATCGCTAACTTGCTGCAGCAAGTCGATAGGGACATTGTAGGCAACCGCCGGGGTACATCACCCTAAAAGTCCTAATGCCTACTACTACTACTATCAATATACTCCCCTAAGTACCCCAAACAATGCTGCATGGACCCTTTCTTTGCATTGCGGCTCCGGTCAGGATCCGGTGCCAGGCATGCTGAGATCCCGTGCCTGAGGAGAGAGGATGAGGGGGAAAAACAAGCCACGAGTCGTAGTATATGATAGGGACCCTCAGGTCGGCTGGTTCCTTAAACAAGCCTCATTACGTCCTTGTTATAGATTAAGGCCCCCCACCCCCCTCCCCCCTACCCCCCTAAGGGGTCCTTATGAGTCTAGGGACCTGAGTGATGAAAACATATTTTGGTACAGTCGTAAGCAATCTGAAGGAATAGTGCACTTTGTCGCTGGAAGCTTGAGAACCCACGTTTAATAGTTAGCTTAGGCGAAGTTTACGATCCATACCGTGGCACAAGACAAAAACAACAATACACCCTCACTGTTCGTATTGTGCGGCGCCGTTGAATGAGGTTGGGTTTGGGGGTCGGCCTCCAATGCTGTTCAGTTCCCTAAACCCTAAACCCCAAACACACACATACGTGCCCAAGGGGGCTTTGGGAAAAGGGGTTTGCTCAGTGTACTCTTCGCAGAAAGCGCTCGATGCCCCAGCTATATTCGCCTACCGACTGCCACGAAATCGAAGGCTGAAGCCTAAACCCTAGACCCCCAAACCCCTAACCCTAAACTCTAGAACCCTAAACTGCCGCTGTAGTTTAGTGATGGTGATGCCTGTCGGACTGATGATCTACCGGTTGAGATTTTCTGGACTTCTTCCCCGTGGGAAGGCACCCCAAACGCTCAGGGTTGCCTCTCGGATGAGTTGTACCACATGTGTCCGTTCGTGATGATGGCAGCGGCTAGATTCCAAGAGTCCAAGACTTGCAGTCCAGACGGAGCCGAGGTTCACCAGCGGTCCACTGCAACAGGTAACACTCAATAATCTTTGCTGCCACATGTGGGTCCTATCATGATGCAATGTTCAACATCTTTTTGAGCCACGGATCTCAGCAAGTAAGAGAATACATAGTAAGGGTCCTGAACCAATTAAGTAGCAGCAAGACCTCCTTGTGTCCCCGCGTCATCATAACCGCACAACCCTCAATAAATTCTGTTCAAGTATCATTCAATTATGAAGGCCCCGGTATTGATCCTATAGCACCCTTGCGATTGCCTGTGAAGTATTTAGAACCCCGTGAAGTATCAAGGATTTCGGGGAGTTCGATCTTTGAACTTTCAATCTTCCCGCATAAGGACCCTTAGAGGGATACGGGGGAGGGGGGTAGGGGCCTGGACTTCCTCAAAGAGGCCTTATTAGGTCCTTGTTATGGGCATTACGGCCCCCTACCCCCCCGTCCCCATACCCCCCTAAGGGTCCCTATGATTCCCGGGAGGTTGTGTCATCGATCTTTGCAGCATACTGCCGCTGGGCTGCCTTTCTGGGCGGAGGAGTTTAGAGTTTAGCGTGTGGGTTTTAGGGTTTGAAGGTCAGGGTTTCAGGGTTTGGGTTATAGGGTCTACTTGGAGGTTCATGGGTAGTTATAAGTAGGGTTATAAGTCCCTTAATATGGGTTATAAGTATAGTTACCCTACTTATAACCTTACTTATAACTACCCATGAACCTCCAAGTAGGTCACAAAAAGTCAGTAATTGCCATGCGCTAAGAAGTCGCATGTGTGGTCTACCTGTAGCCCCAAACCGTACGACATCGCACGACATGACTCCTGAACTACACCCCGAGCTTCCTGTAAGGCTCTGAGCGTTGAGGATGTATGCGATGTAGAAACCTGGGGAGTTTTCAGTATGATTCCCTATCGGGTTCCTTGTTGTAAATATCCGTTACTTAGGGGCTGAGTAGGTAACCTTTAACCTTTTAAGGCTCATAGAATCCTACTTGACTCAGAGGGTTAACCCTTTTGGGACTAGGGTACTCAGCCCTTGTGGGTAACATCATACCCAAAAGCCCTGCTCGGATTCTTAAGACCCCCCCCCAACTACGTTCCATTACGCGCCCCAAATACCCAGAGACTCCAATATCCCTTAATTAATATTAAGGAATATAGCTTAAATTATAGTAGGATCCTTAATGTGAGTTTAAGGTATATTCCCTAATTAAGGAATATAGCTTAAATTATAGTAGGATCCTTAATATGAATTTAAGGTATGTTCCCTAAAGGAATATTGGAGTCTCTGGGGACCCATTATCCAAGGACCATTGGGCCTCTAGTAGTGGGTAGCATGATGAGGGAGACCCCTTAAAGGGTACCCCTTCTGAACCCTACTTCTGGCTCTCTTATAAGGGGCCTTATTCAGAGGGTCTATATCCCCAAAAGTCCCCCTAATCCTAACTCCCAATGGAATCCTCGCTTTGTCGCCCCGGAAGGTTTGAGCTCAGAAATTCATAGGGTCTAGGGATTTGGGGGTTTAGGGTTATAGGATTTAGGGGTTCGGGGTTTTAGGGATTTAATGTTCAGGTGTTTAGGGCTTTGGGAGTTTAGGGCTTAGATATTACAGTTTGAAGCTTTGGGTTGAGGCTTCATTGCTTAGGCGCTTTGTATTTCGGGTCTGGGATTTTGGATTGAGGCGTCATGCTTTAGGCTTTGGGTTTAGGGTTCTAGGGTCTGGGATTGATGGTTGAGGAATCAGCGTTTAGATGTTGCAGGGTTCAAGGTTTCTGAACCTCGCAGCATTGCTACTGCAATTCCAGGAAGCAGGGTGTTTGAACACTAGAACCCTAGCTTTCCTATAGTAGCTTCCCAGAGACTCCAATATCCCTTACTTAAGGAATATACCTTAAATCATATAAGGGATCCTCGCATAATCTAAGGAATATTCCTTAATTAAGGGATATTGGAGTCTCTGAGTATGAGCTGAACTTTCACAGTATACAACGAATCTACGCGGTCTTCATCACCAGCACCGCCGAAGTGAATCCCAAACCCAAGGTCCAGAATCCTAAGTCCTGAGCGAAAGGAACCCTTAGTGGAATTCTTAAAAATTCGCGAAGCTCCCCATAGAACCACTGAAATGAGCATGAAGTTCCCAAGGCTTCCCGCACATGGTGCAGCTTCCTGCCCTGCCACGCAGCATCCGCCACGGCTTTTGGGTGGGCCTTGAGGGTTGGTTCCCTGGGGGCATCCAGGCGGGCGGGTTTTGGGCTCAGGGTTTACCGCTCCTCCACAGTCCTAACCACAAAACTAGGTATCCCAAAAAAGGGCTAGGGTGCGAGCCTGTAGGTAGATACCTTTTTCAGGAGTTGCATATAAAGCATAATTAGCAGCCCCAAACCCTGGGCCCTTAACACTGAACCCTGAACCCTACTCCATAACCTTTGCAAGTGGGCGCCCCAGGTGGTGCACAGTCAAAGCGCCGGTGAGCCCGAGCCAGAACCGCCGACTCAAAGAAAGAGGCCCGCATGATACTCTAGCGTCCTGTAAATTTAAGGTTTAAGGTTTAGGGTTCCTAGGAATGACAAATTCCCCGCCCCCCCCGGCCTTTTAATAGACCCATTATGGCCCCTACTAGTGGGTAGTTGGAGTATATTAGACGGTAGTTAGGGGGTCTAGGCTATGTTTTATTCTATACAAATACAAAGAAAACTATAAGCCCTTGCCCAAGCCCAAAACCCGGAACCCTAAACTTTTTGAATTCTACAAACCCTGAGCATGTCGCCATGCCATGCAAATCCCAAACCCTGAGCTTCTCGGTATAAGCCCTCTCACAGGCCTTGACCCTAATCCCTGTGAGCCCTGAACCCTGAACCTACCCCTGCCCCAGGCTGTCCTAAACCCTGAACCCTAAACCCTAAACCCTGAACCCTGAACCCTAAACCCTAAACCCTAAACACCTTTACTTTTATAGGCCCTCTCGCAGAGGCTGTTCTGCATCCACCCCCACGGGATCTACACCATCGGCGCCCTGACTCTCCCGGATCAGATGCCAGAGGTCCGCCTTTGCAACTTGGCGCAAGGGTTTGGGACCCAGAGATTCCAATATCCCTTAATATTTAAGGAATAATACCTTAAATCCTATAAGGGATCCTACCATAAATTAAGGAATATTCCTTCATTAAGGGATATTGGGGTCTCTGGTAATGTAAGGTTCACGGTGTGGGGTTTAGGTTTTAGGGCCGTGTGAAGTCAAAGAGTTCAGGATTCATGGTGTAGGGTTGAGGGTGTTGAGCATAGGGCTTTAGGTGCGGAAGTATGAGGAGGGACTGTGCACCTCCGGCAGAACAGGAGCGCAGGTGATGTAAACCACTGGGTTCAGATGTCAGGACGATGGCTTGTTGAAAGATTGTGGGCTTACGGTGTTTGTCGTGGTGAAAGATGAGTTTTTGGCGTTAGCTAAGGACACCTCAACTAGCACCCAAAACCCTCACCACCCTTCCTCTCCTGCTCTCCGACACCGAGCCCCCTCAATCCCAAAGAATCCGAAGCCTGGGACCGATGTTGAGTTTTTTCAGCATGAACCAAGCCTCAGCACTTAGCCCACACCCTAAGGCCTTGAAACCCCCTGAGCTGGGTACGGCCCCCACACAGTAACAGTTGAATACTATTCATAATATAGATATACTAGGACCTTAATAGTAGCCCCATTATAGACTGTTACTGTATGGGGGGGGCAGTACCTAACTCCTGAACTCCAGGGGAAAAAGCAGCAATGCCCTGGCCTAGACAAGGCATGGCTCCCTATCTCTACAACTTCTCGCCCGCGTTCCGGATGGCCGCAGATCTACTTGGGATCAAGGCCTCCCGGCGGCATCTTCCCAAAGGCTCCCTGCACCCATATAGTAGATACTTAGGCCTTAAAGTACCTATATAGGGACCCGTTTAAAGCTTAAGTATCTACTATAAAGGTACATGGAGCCGTTGGGCTTGGTGTCCAATGGTTTGGGTTTAGGGGTTTAGGTTTTAACTTCTAGGGTTTGTGGCTTGCTGTAGATTTCGCCTCCGTTTCAACAACAAGTGCTAGTGTGAGTATAGACTATAGAGACCTTGGGTTGAGATTTACAGGCATTACATCTGAAACCAGGGGTTTCAGTTTTGGGGGTTCAGGGTTCCGAAGATGTGTTGAACCGTTGAGAGTTCAAAGCATGACCCCAAGAGCGAGGATTATCCTCGATTTGACTATCTCCTAGTCCTAAACAGCATTTGCAGTATACCCAAAAAATCTCAAAGCCCTATTCTATTATTGAGGCCCCGATAGGATATCATACCCTGTGAAGCTGAAAAAAGCCTTGTTCGAACCGATTGAGGGCCCTCCAACCCTCAACCCTGAACCTATAAAGGGCCCTAGACGACCCTCTAACCCAAAGGCTCCATGTACCATTATAGTAGATACTTAAGCTTTGAAGGGGGGTCCCTATATAGGTACTTTAAGGCCTAAGTATCTACTATATGGGTACATGCAGCCTTTGGGTAATCATTATAAGGACCCCTATATAATAAGGTACCCCTAATTTTCGGAAACCTTAAACCCTGCTTAAGCCCTTTAAAGGAACCCTTATAAAGGGCCCTACCCAGAGACTCCAATGTCCCTTAGGTAAGGAATGTACCTTAAATCATATAAGGGATCCTACCATAATTGAAGGAATATTCCTTAATTGAGGGATATTGGAGTCTCTGGGTAGACGACCTTCCAAACAGGTGGGTTCCACTGGGCCGCGCGCTCTCCGTCGGCTGATGCGCAAGGGTGGCTTTGGCTTGGCATGTGGGGTTTACGGTGTATAGGAAACTCCGGTAGGATACCCTAGAATTTACCATAGAAGGGTTAGGATAATCATATTCCAGCTTTCTGGCTTCTACCTCAGGGTTGTAGGATCCTTAAAGGGGGTCCTTGAAAGAGGCATTCGAGGGGCCTTAAAGGGGCCGCTCAAGGTTTAGGGTTTTAGGGTGTAGGGTTTGGGATTTACGGTTTGGGGTTCGGGTCTAGGGTTTAGGATTTAAGGTTCAGGGATTGGGCTTCAGAGGTGCTAGGAAGTTTAGGGTTCGCTTTAGGGTTTAGGGTTTAGGATTTTGTCCCGAGTAAGATCACACCACTTTTGTGTCATAGGTGCCAGCAGGACAAACCTCTTCACACAGACGCGATAATTAGTATAGGAGGGGGCTACACTGTCTACTAGTTTGTTCTTAATGGTTCCTTGCATCCGCAATTGAGTGTGGAGCTTTTCGACATTGGCACGGTAACCTTCATGTTGCTTCCAATTCAGCCGATTTCGGGTGCGGGGCTCTGTACGCCTACCTAAACCCTAAACACCCTAAGCTGCCCTAAACCCGAGGCCCGTTTCCTTGATCCTAGAGTCTCGGCTTGATCCTTCCGGGCCCTGGGAATGGACCCAAAAATCCTCATACAGGACCTTCATTACACAGCATATGCCATGCCCTTCTGGAGTACCTGCACTAGCTCCGGTATAGATAGCATTCAATGGTTCCCTTAACCGCATGCTTTAATTGGTTCAGCCGCAACGTTGGTTCCATTGCTGAAGCCCTGGAACATTCTTTGGCAAGCCGACACCACAAGACTCGAAAGCACTTTACAAACCTTAGCAACAACGCACTCTCCCCAGCTAATTTCGGGGCCTTAATAATTTGAACAGGGTTTCGGGGCCCATTATACTATAATTGTAATCAGGAACCCCCCGAAAAGAGTATAGGTAATTATTCAGGCCCCTATAGTAGCGCTTCCTGCGCAAGCATTACTCCCCTAATTCGGGTCGAAGGAGCTCCGCCGCCATCTTTCAGGTTCAACAGTCTTGCACTATGGGAGTTCCGAAAACAGGGGACCCTGATATAGCACCCTAAATAGTAGGATCCTTAGTATTAGGACCCCAAAGGTACCCCAAAATTCTCGGAAACCCCCCATATCCTCGCAGCCCTCATCTCTGCAACCCGAACACCGAGCCCAAGAATTGTTTCTGCCGGCCTCAACCCCCGCGTTAACCCCTTACGAAGTCGCAAAGCCCTGATAGCATGTTATTGTCTTCGTTGCTTTATGTCAGAACTTACTAGTGGTACTAGGTAATTATCAGCATTATTGTTATGATTATTATTGTTGTTAGTATTGTTATTACTGTTGCTGTTATTAATATTGTTAGTATTATTATATGTATATACACATACATATTTGGAGATACACCATATATCTATATATATATATATATATATATATGTACACATACATACATACATACATACATATAGGGAGACAGTGTATAAATTCCTACCCCTAAACCCTAAACCCTAAACACATGTGTGTGTATAGATATGTATATATATATATATATATATATATATATGTATATATATATATATATATATATAAAAAAAAATATATATATATATATATATATATATAGAAATCCTTTGCAGCCTCAAAACCCAGCCGAGGGGAGAGTCCCCTTGCCTTGGTCCCTGGTGGCTTCGAAGAGGCCACGGTGACCTCCCCGGGGACCGAGCGAGTCTTTCTGAAGACCCTCGGGAAGCGGTCTTGGTGGATCTTAGGGTCTTTTGGGTTTAGGGGGTTTGGGGGGAAATTAGGATTTTTGGGTTTAGGGGGTTTTGTGGGATTAAGGGGTTTAGGGTTTAGGGGGCTTAGGGTAAAGTTTGGGGTTGGTGAAGTCAGGGCAGTGTTCGTAAGACATTTTGGTGTGACTTGCTGCTGTGGAAGCCGCAACGCTTGGTTGATCGTTCTGTGAATATCTCTTGCTGTGGTTTGTTTGTCATACAAAGGCGACGGCGACCCTGACGACCAGTACTGCCACTGCGACTGCGACTGCTGCTCTTGCTTAACGACGACGACCATACTTATACCTTCACTTCCATGTTTCTTCTACTTCAACTGACTTCTAGACCCAAAGGCTCCATGTACCCATATAGTAGATACTTAGGCCTTAAAGTACCTAAATAGGGACCCCTTTAAAGCTTAAGTATCTACTATATGTAAAGGTACATGGAGCCTTTGGGAGAATTACTGCAAGGACGGCGACGAAGACGACTGCGATCTGCTACCTATGCTAAGCAACGGTTTGCATGATACGTCTGCTACTCTGATACTCATACAGAGTGTGAGATATGAGGTGGTGTCGTACAGTAAGAGGGCTAGTATCAAATGGGAGAGCAAATTGCCGGATAGGGGTTCGGTCTAAAGGCTAAGAAAGCTGCTTAATGTTTACAGGGAACTCCAGAAAGTTGGAATATGGTTTCATGGTAGGATACCCTATAATTTACCATAGAAAGGTTAGGATAATGATATTCCAACTTTCTGGCTTCTACTGTAATGTTTATGGTTCTTGGAAAATTGGGCCTTGGGTACAAAGGCTCGGCTGGCCTCGCCCTGAAATGCTAAGGACCCGTGCTGGCTTTGTCAAGTATGCGCTGAGGCATGGATACGATGCTCGGCTTGAAAGCCGATCCCGACCGCTCCAAAGTGCGTCCCCAGAGACTCCAATATCCCTTAATTAGGGAATACACCTTAAATCATATAAGGGATCCTACCATACTTTAAGGAATAGTCCCTAATTAAGGGATATTGGAGTCGCTGGGTCTTAGACCAACACCACCATTCGCCGTAGCAAGGATGCCGCTGTCCTCACACGGACATTTCACTTGCGTCTTCGCCAACGGAATGGTGAGGTTGGGCAGTTACTCAGTCTTTCCGTCAACCCTATGCCCGGAACCAGAGCCTGAACCGGAGCAAACGCGCACAAACCGCAAACCTTGACAGTATGCGTCCAGAAATTCTTCATCCCGCCGTGAATCATATACCTGCCAGTGCAATATTTGCAGCTTTAATCCTAGACCAGTCCATGCCACCTCAAAATACACCCAAAGGCTCCATGTACCCATGTAGTAGATACTGTAAAGTACCTATATAGGGACCCCTTTAAAGCTTACTATAAAGGTACATGGAGCCTTTAGGACAGGCCCGAATATATAAACGAAGAACCCAGTCCCAATGCTTGGAAGTGCCGACTCTCAACACAAAGGATCTGGTCCCTTGCTACACAGTCGGCGATTCGGATATGTTTGCGAACCCCCAGGGAGCTTGGAGGCATCTGCATGGGGGTTTGATGCTGTGAGGTTTTAGATTTTGCGTTGTTTGGGGTTTTGAGGGTCCTAAACCCTAAACCCTAAACCCTCTTGTTGCAGTGTCGGAGTCGGGATTAGAAGGCTGAGCTGCTTGCGGTTGAGGTATACTGGGTTAACAGTTTAGAGCTTTGAGGGCTTAGGGTTTAGGTTTTAGAGGGTTTAGGTTTCAGGGTTTGTTTAGAGCTTTGAGGGCTTAGGGTTTAGGTTCTGGAGGGTTTCGGGTTCAGGGTTTAGGCCATATCCCTTCGGGTGCAGGGCTAGGCCGCTGCACCCGAATCTAGGGGCAATACCGGAGAAGGGTGTTGATTTAGGGTTTACGGGTCGGACTCTCATATGCAACTTTGTTGCGTTGTACGGTTTCTGAAGGAGCAGAACTTCAATTAGTGAAGCTCCTTTCTCGTCACAGTCGTGTGCTACTGGAGATTGTGCGTTGCAGCTTAGCGCCTTTCGGGCGAACCGGTTTAGGGTTCAAACTTTGAACCCTAAACCCCGAGGGACTTGCGTCCCATCGCTATGTCCAGCGCCCTGAACAAGCTTACCACACGACTCGTGATGTCTCGGTCCTTCCCATTGCTCAGGAGAGGGTCAGAAATTTCATGCTGTGGCCCAGGCCGACAGCCGGCCGACTTAGTAGGCGCAGTATCTCGAATACGTGACGTGTCCAGGGAGTGGAAGCTGGGGTTGCTCGTTGCGAAGCTGGATGTGAGAGGGGCGTTTGACCGTATCTCCAGGGCTAAGGTCGCAAGCTTCCTCACGTCTAGGCTACAACTTCAAGGTCTGGGACGTGAACTTCGCTACTTGCTATTGCAGCTAATGCCAAACCAGCTACATGGGTGTGTGCCTGGAGGTGGGGAAATCTGCATTGAATGCGACATTGGCATTAAGCAGGGGTCACCCGAGTCCGCTGAGCTCTTTGGGGTGATCATGGAAGAAGTTCTTCAGGACGTTCGTCATGGCATGCAGTGGAGATCTTTCCCGGAACCGCTTGGGGATGTGGGGATCGACATGCTACAATACCAGGACGATGTTTTCCTGTTCGAAACTGCGGTCGATAATCTCTCTCGGAAAATTGGACTGATCGATGCAGCTCTTCAGGCAGTGGGTTTGGAACTCGCTATGGACAAAACTGCAGTTATCGCCTCTGAGCATTACGTGGGGAACCGACTGGTCCGAATTGGGGCTGCCACTGTCGAGGTTTTGCCGGCGTCCTGCACCATTCGCGTCTTGGGGTTAGACTTTTCCTTTGAGGGTTTCTCCAGTCGACAGGCTCGTGACCTAGTGGCCAAGGCGAGGGCAGCCGTTCTCTGGTTGAGTCCTCTTTTACTTGGGTGGCAGGGGCCGTCTTTTGGTCCCCTGACGATTTGGCACTTCTCAACACGGTCCAAACACATATCATCAGAGATGCTTTTCGACTCGGTCGCCTGACGGAGGAATCATGGGTTGATTGGAACACTCGTACCTGTCGCTTCGTTCGCTCCTGGCTAGTGGCGCATGGTTATGACCGCTGGAGTACACGGGTGCGCCGGCTTCAACATAGTCTCGCGGGCCATTGGGCGAGACAAACACAAGACACAGGTTTGGGTGTATTCTGCATTCCAGGAATTGTTTCTCGACTTCTCACGTGGAAAGGGATGACCTGGACATGCTTTTGGCTATATTTTATCGTCAGACTCCGAAGAAAAATCGTCGGGGCTGGCAAAATATCGTCGGGACATCAAAGCAACCCAAAATATAGTCGGGAATGCATTTCTGGCCAAAATATCGTCGGGACTCCGGAAATATCGTAGGGACTTCGGAAATATCGTCGGGACTTCGGAAATATCGTCGGGACTCCGGAAATATAGTCGGGAATCCAGAAATATCGTCGGGATCCTGGAAAATATCGTCGGGACCCTCGGGACCTGCAAAAATATAGTCGGGAATCCAGAAATATCGTCGGGATCCTGGAAAATATCGTCGGGACCCTCGGGAAAAAAATAGTCCGAGCCCCGGAAAACTCGTCGCCCCACCGAGAGCCGCCCACCGAGAGCCGTTTAGGAAGCCCCACCGAGAGCCCACCGAGAGCCGTAGGAAGCCCCACCGAGAGCCGTATAGGAAGCCACCGAGAGCCAAGCGAGCCCCACCGAGAGAATACCGAGAGCCGTAGGAAGCCCCACCGAGAGCCGTAGGAAGCCCCACCGAGAGCCAAGCAAGCCCCACCGAGAGCCGTAGGAAGCTTCACCGAGAGCCGTAGGAAGCCCCACCGAGAGCCAAGCAAGCCCCACCGAGAGCCGTAGGAAGCCCCACCGAGAGCTTGGTCGGTCGGTTGGTCGATTTGATTGTTTTGGCAGTTTTGCTTGGTTGGTTGGCCGATTGTGCACCTTGCATGTTTCACCCTTGTTTCGCCCTTGTTGCTTGCTTGGCTTGGTCGGTTGGTCGGTTGGCCGTTTGTGCACCTTGCTTGTTTCACTCTTGTGTCACCATGGTTGCTTGGCTTGGTCGATTGGTCGATTTGATTGTTTTAGCATGGTTGCTCGCTTGACTTGGTTGGTTGGCCGATTGTGCACCTTGCATGTTTCACCCTTGTTTCGCACTTGTTGCTTGCTTGGCTTGGTCGGTTGGTCGTTTGGTCGATTTGCAGGTAAAAAAATGGTTGCTCGCTTGCCTTGGCTGGTGGGCCGGTTGGGCACCTTGCTTGTTTCTCCTTGGTTGTTTGCTTGGATTGCATGGTTCTGTCACTTGGGTACCTTGGTCGTTTGACCCTTCAGCATGGTTGCTTGCTGCAGCGATTTCAATCACTCAAGGGATCCCTGAATAGATTGACCTGCCACCATGCGAAGAGGCTTTCTGCTCGGTCCGAGTGCCGGCGGATCTGCAGGCGGTCGATCGTCCTCCGACAACAGTCCGAGTGGGGTTCGCTCGAGCTCCGACAGAGGGCCAAACGCCGAATCGTCCGCAGGCGGTCGAACATCCTCGAGGAGCCCTCGTGGGGATCGCTCGAGTGGATCGTCTCAGGTCGGCCGGCCCAGCAAAGAGGAAGGCATATCAGAGGAGTTCAAGGAGCGAGCCAAGCAGCAGCTACGCCGCATGCAAGCACTCGGACTGGATGTGTTCGTTTCGGATTCTGGCGAGATCTTCTCTCAAGAGGACTTGAAGCAGCTTCTTGGAATCAAGTAGGGGAAGTGATTGAATGCTTGAGGGAACGGAAAAACGCGATCGCTTGGGTGCAAGCATGCTTGTCTAAAGACTGATTTCGTGCTTGCTTGCCCGAAGGCACTCATCCCGTTCGAATGCTCCAAGCTGCATTGTCGTAATCGATCTAGAGTCTAGAGTCTGCCTCGGCAGCCTAGATCAAAGAACGCTTTCCTCAAAACATACTTCATCCGATAACTGAACCCTTAAAGACCTTGACGCCCTACAACCCAAAACCTTTAATTCTACCAAGCCACAGCCATTGTTGCCATCGAGAACTTCGGCCCTGAGATCCTTTTCCAGGACTGCATCCGATTCTCGCAATATCTGTCTTGAATCTCTTGCTGTCTCGCAGGACCTTTGGATGATTGGTGATTGGATTTGGATGATTGGTGGCTGGACTCCTGAGGACTGCATGCCGGTTCACGTTCGTCTGGAAAAGCTTCCACAGGCGTTGTAGCCTCTGAGCCCGTCGATTCTGACACCCTTTCTTGCAATCCAGTTTGCTTTTTGGAACCACCTCATTGCGCAGCTTTTTTCAGCTCGATCGATGACTGCATGTGATGGTCACATAGGTCACATGGAGAAACACATAACATAATTTTGATCGCGATGCCGCTGCCGCCGCCACCTCTGCCATTTATGGTCCGCGCTTTGCCGAACCCAACGACGCCGCTCCCTCCTGAGACTCTGTCTGTCTCTCTCTCTCTCTCTCTCTCTCTCTCTCTCTCTCTCTTGCTTTGCTCGGGGTCTGAGGCGGGTGCAGTCCACTCTCTCTCTCTCTCTCTCTCTCTCTCTCTCTCTCTCTCTCTCTCTCTCTCTATCTCTCTCTCTTGGTTTCTCTCTCTCGAGGCCGTTGCCGGACCACTTAGCGTTCCCACCGCGGCAGCAGCCGTTAATTATCGGCACCACGCACAACCAGCCGGCCATGCATCTCGGCTTTATTCAGGGTTCATGCTTTATTCCCTCGTGCAGCTAGTCGCTTGCTCTCTCACTCACTCACTCACTCATTGAGGCTTTGCAACCCCAGATGGTTGAACCCTGCAGTTACTCCTTCCCTGCGACTCGGCTGGAACATCAGTAGCCTCATGCCCTTATAAGGTAAAAAGAAAAGGGAAACCCAGCATGAATCATCCTAAATCCATGTTCCAAGGCAAAGGGACCGCACGCCGCTGTTGAACTTAAGCATGATGCAGATGCCCACGACGCGCCCCGGCAAGTTTAGGGTTTAGGCTTTAGGGTTCAGGGTTTAGGTCTTGCGAGCACTAATCAAGCCTGTGGAAAAAGGTCTTAGGAATGGGCTTCAGGTTTATAGGGTGTGTTTTTGGCACGCCCAGGCAGGGGCTCTACTTCAACGTCAACACGACGCCTTCATTGTAGCTCGGCAACATTCCGCAACCCCTTAAGCCTAGCTTAAACCCTAAACGGAACCCCTAGGCTGCTCCGCGGGCCTCCCATGGGCCGATTCGGCATGCAGCTGCCGCTGAGCCCGGCACGCGTGCACACGCAACTGGGCTAATCCTCTCTCTCTCTCTCTCTCTCTATCTCTCTCTCTCTCTCTCTCTCTCTCTCTCTCTCTCTCTCTCTCTCTCTTTCTGATTGTTCGCTTGGTCGGCCGGTCGTTGTGCTTGGTCTGTTGTGCTTGAAGGCTTGCAGTGCTTGTTGGCTTGGTCGGTCGGTCGGTCGGTTGTGCTTAATTGGTCTTCACGGACAGGTCATCGCTGCCTTCCTCTGCCGCGGAGCCCGGGCCTGGGTCTCCTTTCAATCCTCCTTGGGCAGACGAAGAAGTACAGATGAGCGAGGGTGAAAGCTTACCTCCTTACGAGGAGGTAACCAGTTGGCTGCACCCGCCGAGAAAGTACCGTAAAAGGTGCGCGGCATGCTGCTGCGACGATAGTGATGATGATGACTGAATCTGAAGAGTCAACCATCCTTTTTGTATTGTAGAAAAATAGACACAAAACCCTAGCTATACCTGTATGGTGGGACATCATCTTCGTTGCAGACGCGGGCAATCTTCTGCGATCAGGCTTGGCAAAAGGGGCTTGCTTATGCGTTGCATCGCTTTGCATAAGCTGCTGGAACTTGCATTTTGGCACTGTCTCTCGATCGTTTTTTCCTGCAGGACCTGCGGACACCCGGAGCTGGAGGCCAGTTCTGAAGCATTTTGGCAATCTGTGTCGAGTCCTGCATGGGCTGCATGGGCGGTTCCTGCTTGTTCCTCTGATGCTCCGCTTGCAAGCTTCCTGCTCGAAGGATCGATTCTTAAGTCGCTGCAAGAAGCAAAGCTACAGAAAGTGGACCGTGTGTTTCCCAACTCCCAACAATTGCCCGGGGATCTCATAATAAGCCACGCCATGGCAGTGTGCAACAAACTCCTCGCGTGGAAGGTGGATGGGTCCATTGGACTGCACTTTTCCTGTGATGAGGGTTTGGTATTCAAAGCCGGCTGGTATCACCGCGACTGGTGTCCGACACTTGGGTCGATCCAGGAGGAAGAGATTGCTGGTGTGTCATCTTTCGCCTGCTTTGAACTTCGCACCACGAAGCTTCACTTGGACACGCCCGTGTCAGTGAGGCATGCCAGGTATATACACAAAAGGCAGATGCTGCGGGACCAAGATGTCGATGTCAGCTGGAAGAAGATTCGAAGGACCGACATTGAAGTGCCGATGTTCCGGGGCCACATGGATCTGCAAATCCGAAGCTGATTGAGGCGTCGATGTTCCGGCCCCATGCTTTGACCTTCAGGTCAAAGCGTCGAAATTGGAACACGTTTCGATGGGAATGTGTTCTCTGTACAGTTCCCTGCAATAGTCAGGAGCAATACTCAGAACAGATGTGTGTCCTAGCACAAAGATTGTGCCAGAGTTCATAAGCATAATTAACCCTTGAACGCCAATTTGCCCCTGCCAGGGCTTTGATCTCGTCGACAGCTTGTGTGGAGCGTGGCCATGGGCAAACGCAAGACACTGGCAGGCGGGGATTGTTGCCGCAACACGGCTGTTTGGGTCTGCATGTGACTGCCGCTATACCATCTTTGCAATGCACTTTGCCATATCTGGCCCTATAGCTGATTGCCTTCGTGGCATATAGGGTGCATGCTTGATCATGTCGTGTGCGCATCCTATCCAAATCGGCCCTGGAACTCCAGGGCGGATAAAACAATACCCAATAGCTAGGCAGAGCCGTTGTAAACCAGTATCCAAACTACAAGCCTTCATGTGTATGCACGCGGGCTTTGCCCTAGGCAA